ACTCTTAACCACTGTGCCACCAGGGAAGCCCCAGGGAAATCCTTATCTTTGTTTCTGATCTTAGGGGGAAATTATTTAGTCTCTCACCATTAAGGATGATGTTAGTGGTGGGTTTTTCATAGATGCCCTTTATCAGGTTGAGGAAGTTCCTTTCTGTTTCTGGTTTGTTGAATGTTTTTATCATGAATGTTGGATTTTATCAAATGCCTTTTCTGTGTCTATTGAAATGATCATGTCGTTTTTGTCCTTTATTCTATTAATATGGGTGCCATAGGCAGAAATATGCCCCCACCCAAAGATGTCCATGTTCTAATGCTCAGAACCTACAAGTATATTGACCTTAAAATAGGGAGATTATCCTGGATTACCCAGGTGGGCCCAATGTAATCATAAGGGTCTTTAAAAGTAGAAGAGGGAGACAGAAGGAGAACCATAGAGATGGCAGCATAAGAAAGACTTTGTCCAATGTTGCTCACTTTGAATATGGAGGAATTCAAGGAATGTGGCAGCCTTTAGGAGCTGGAAGAGTCAGGGAGGTGGATTCTCCCCTAGAGCCTCCAAAAAGAACGCTAAGCTCCTAATACCTGCTTTTAGCCCAGGAAGGCCCATTTTGAAATTCTGACCTTCAAAACTGTACAGTAATACATTTGTGTTTTTTTAAGCCATTAAGGTTGTGGTTATTTGTTACAGCAGCAAGAGGAAACTAATACAGTGTACTACATTAATTGATTTCCAGATGTTAAACTAACCTTGCATTCCTGGGGTAAATCCCAGTTGATCATGGCATGTAACCCTTTCTGTGTTGCTAGATTGGGTTCGCTTGTGTTTTATTGAGGATTTTTGAGTACATGTTCATAAGAAATATTGGTCTGTTGTTTTTTGTGTATGTGATGTTTTTGTCTGGCTTTGGTGTCAAGGTAATACTGACCTCATAGAATAAGTTTCAAAGTGTTCCTCCCTTTTCTATTAGTATAACCACTACAGCTTTGTTACAGTTGCTGTCTGCATGATGTATCTTTCTCCATCCTTTTACTTTCAACCTATTTGAAACCTGTCCTTAATCTAGATCTCCTGTAATAACAGACTTCCTCTATAATAACTGATATTTTTTATGACAATGAAAACTGCATTTGTTATATTTTTAGCTGCTTTTAAAAAAATTAGCTGCTGAAGTAAACCTTTGTTTTCACAACTATAACTTCTTGTTTCCAAACACTCTCTAGTTCTCTTTCTTGCACTAAATCTTTAATGTTTTGGCTTATTTTTGTTTTACTTAAAATAAAACTTAGTAACCATGCGTTGGGCCTGCTTTTTTTCCTAGTGGTCTACGAAATCTTTAAGTCTGAGAACGACTAAACTAGAAATTTCCCAAGACTAGGTTAGAGATATGTTATACACACAACATAGGTTGTATCTATGGAACAAGTTTATTAAACTCCTGAATAATTTTTAAAGTAATAAAATTTTAGCAGTATTTTTGCATTAAAACATTAAAAGCATTAAAACATACTATAAAACTGACTTTGCAAAAGATATGTAAACTATATTAAAATCACTGCTATATATTGTGAATAATTGAAAACCATCTAAATGTCCAGTCATACAGATTGGTTAAATTACAAGGAATTCATGTAATAGTTATCTATTTAAAATCATGTTTTATAAATATTATATGACATGGAAAAATGTTCAACTACAGGTCAAGTTGTCCTGTTTTAGTAACTACTCTGTCCCCTAACCCTCATGGACATGTTGCAGCTTCCCAAGGTGTTTTACCATACCTGTTGGCTTCCTTTAATCATGTTTTCTTTAATCACTCCTTTGTAGTTAAAACCTGTTCAAGCACCCTAGTTTAGTGTGTCATCTACTTCCTGCCAGGACCCTGAGAAACTTTAACCCTATTACTCTCTGGTTGGTGAAATTAAGATGAAATTACAGAGAAAACAGTAAATACCTGTTTTTTAGAAGTATTACTATGATGTGTTTACTGCAGCTAATAACAGTGATGGTTACCACTAATTAAATGTATTTTTAGCTTATAGTATGCTTTATATATCATCTCATTTAATCCTTTAAATAACCCTATGAGATATAATAGTTATCGTCATCCCCAGTTTATACATGAGGACACATTCAATATCTTTGATTACTGTGAATTAATATGTTGTCATTGTTTTCTTTTGTAGATCATTCACGAGAAGTCTTGGAGCAATTAGTAGGCCCAAACAAACTAAAGCAAGTGACGTGGACTGTCTATTGATGCTTATTGAAGCTTATCAAAGCTATGATCTTCATACAACTTTCCCAGGAAACAACGATCTAGAGATTGGCTTTCCAATAATATGATTTATGCTTTGAAGTTAACCAGGCTCTTAAACATTTTAATAGTGCTGTTATTTCTAAGTTTGTTTGAGGAGTGATTGTTCTTGAAATGACAATCCTAGCATGCCCTCTGATGTATTTGGGGAGGGTATTGTGTTTGTTTCTTTAATAGCAAAGTTTTAAATTACCTGTTTTCCCTGGAAATTTCCTTCTCCCACCTAGATATTTGAGCTGCTGTAAGAGAAATTTACCAATATGGATAAACATTAGGAGAATTCTAAGTAAAGGTATTTCTAAAAGCATTAATTACCTACCTAGCTATTTTTTGGCTGCTACCTTCCAAATTATTTAAATGTCCACTGGCCAGAAAGCAAAGCTGAACATCAGGCCTGTAACTTCTTCACAGAATTTATTATTTCAATGAAACAAAGAAATATAATAGTTTAATGTCATAATCCAGGACATCATATACCTTAGCCATTCAGCATATGAATGTTACTGAATATGGCTACTTTTCCCAAATACATGCTATTCATCTACAAACCTTCATCCTTAAAGACTGCAGTCAAGAATGTGTAAGAATGAGTAAACACGAAATGTCATCACAGAGGTTGTATCCTGAAGCTCTACTGGTTTCACATTGTGAAATAAACACACAGGTCTTAGTTTTCAAATGAAATGTATTACTCTCTATAATCACAAAATTCTCTGACGTATACTGTGCTTAAACTACCCCCAAATTCAGCATATTCCCTGTGCCATGAGCCTGTCTCAGTGGGACTTTTCTTAAAGATTTCCTATTTTAACTGTGATGTAGTGAATAACAGGGAAAGTGTGGTATGGTAGATTTCTTGTATATGTTTAGAAGGAAGGGTTTACATATTCAACTCCACTCCTTGTCCTTACTACTAACTACTTTATAAATGTGATATGTTTATAGCGTAGATAACATATATTGCCACTGCAAAGGTGGTACATATGTATATATGTGTAAAATGGGTAAGGCCTGTTCCATCTATGAAATTTTTCTGAAGACAAATTCAGTAAGATTTAATATTGAATACCTAACCAAGTCAATAGCTTTTTCCGCTTTGGGGGAAACTAGTTTCAAGATCTAAGGTATCAGGTTTGTAGAGTCTATAAAGGACTCATCATCCTAAAGCAGCTTGCAGCTTGACCTTCTTTTTTTATACTGCTAGTTACCTTAGCTGTTTCTCGGCACTCTGTTTAAAATTTGGATCTCCCATCCCTATCCTACCTATCCCTGTCACCCTTACCTGTCACTCTAGACTCTATTTTTCCCCTTTCCACCTGTCACCATCTGACATGTTTTATTTTTTATTTGTTATCTGTCTCCCGACCCTAGTATATAAGCTTCATGAAGACAAATTATTTCTCTTTTTTTCACTGCTGTATCTCCAATACCTAGAACAGTGTCTGGTACATAATAAGCACCCAAATATTTGTTGAATGAATAGACAAGAAAATAAATAAAAGTAATACCCACACTTCAAGTTTCTGGTCTGTGACGTACAGGGATTAGATGTCATCACTCCTGTCCTCACAAGGTAAAAGCTGAACAAACTGAAAATCATGAAGCAGTACAGTGTTTATTTCAAAATGGACTTGTATTAGTTGTAAATATACACTGCAAACTCTAGGGCAACTGCTAAAATAATTTTTTTAATAAATATAACTGACCTCCTAAGGGAGGAGAGAAGATGGAATCACATAAAATCCTCAATTAAAACCAGAAAAGGGGGAATTCCCTGGTGATCCAGTGGTTAAGGACTCTGTGCTCTCACCGCCGAGGGCCTGGGGTGTGATTCCTAGTCAGGGAACTAAGATCCCACAAGCCATGTGACGCAGCACACACAAAAAAGATAAAACCAGAAAAGGCAGAAAAAGTAGAACACAAAAAAGAAACAACAAAGGCAACGAATAGGGAACAGTTATAAATATGGTAGAAATTAATCCAACTATATCAATCTCTTTAAACGTGAACAGTCTTAATACAAACATGTTTGTTATGCTATGAAGTCATTTCAAGGATCACTGTTATATATATGGGCAATTTAAAAATATTTTAAGCAATATTTGGACGTCTCAAAGACCTTCTTGTACCCTCCTCATAAATACTTAAGAAAGGATAACAGAAACAGTGTTGTAGATATTTATTTCTGGCTGTGTTGGGTCTTAGTTGCGGCACGCGGGATCTTTTGTTGCGGCGCTCAGGCTTTTCATTGTGGCGCTTGGGCTTCTCTCTAGTTGTGATGCGTGGGCTTAGCTGCCCTGCGGCATATGGGATCCTAGTTCCTCAACCAGGGATTGGAAGGCAGATTGTCAACCACTGGACCACCGGGGAAGTCCCATGTAGATATTTAAAATTAAATCTACTCTTGGCCTCTTCAAGCTGATTTCCAACAGTGCTCCAGAGTATAATTTCCTTTAATTTTCTCTGTCTTATCTTGCTGAGAAGGACAATACCCAGCAGACTATCCTGAATTTTCAAAGAATATGTCAACAAAACTCTTTCCTCTCAAATGCCATCCAATGCCACTGTAGCCTATCATTTCCATTGATTTTAACCAATGCTGAATGAAAATTTTGAGTTTATAATTAAGCCCCAGTAGACCAATGGAAATTGGATACAACAAGAGTTGATTCATTGGGTTGTAATAAACTCTGACTTCCAGAGTTCAAGGATCACAAGATCCTCTGTGACCCAGCTCCAAAACTCCCACCTAATGATACTGTTTTCCTGCCTAAGCAACAACCTGCCCTTAACTGCTTTCTCTACATTTCTTTTGAATGACTGTAGCTCTGATCATGTCTCCCTGGTATCCTAATCCCACTGGCGGTGTGTATTGTTAGAAAACATAAAATGCAAGTGTCATAAACAATTCCTAATTAGTATATGAGAACACGAGAGTACAGCTGACCCTTGAACAACATGGGTTTGAACTGCACTTATATGTGTTTTTGTTTGGTTTGTTTCAATAAATACTACAGTACTACACGATCCATCCCCGGATGCAGAAACTTGGATGCGGACTGTAAAGTTATACATAGATTTTCAACTCCAGGCGGTGGGTGGGGTAGTCAGCACCCCTAACGCCCAGGTTGTACAAGCGTCAACGGTACATTCGCAAGGCTGCGTTTTATACCTGTAACATATATCGTGGTCACGTTTTGTTTTAAATTGGAGAATAGGAAATATAATACAGGTAATCGGTACGAAATTACAAGACCCAAAAGTAAGAACTAGGTCTCCCTACCACCCTCATCCACCAGCCACCTGGTACCCTCTCAGAAGACAACCACTGTTACCAGTTTCTTTCCAGGGATATTCTATATCTACTACAAGTAAATACGCATTCTTTACACATACATTCATATGTAGGTATATACATACATCTTTTTTACATAGTGTATACTATACACATTCTTCACATTGTTTTTCATTTATGTCCTAATGTTCTTATTGATATATAAGATCCTGACAAGCTGGGGCATGTAGTGGTGGCATAACCAATTTCTAACTGACCTTAGTAAACCATAAAGAGGCTATCACAGTACTGAGTATGTAGGAAATTCTAAAATCTTTATCTGTGTTTCTTAATTGATGCCCTATTATGTACTTATCCTATATTACACACTTTATACTTTATTATAATAACCCTTTGAGGTGCAGTTTATTAAATTTTATTACTATTTTATAGGTGAAGAAATGGAAGCTCAGAGAGCTTAACTAGCCCAAAATCCCAACTAGAAAGTGACAGAGTGGCCTCACTCTGAAGCCCATGTACAGTAAGTCCCCTACATATGAACGAGTTCCATTACGAGAGTGGGTTCGTAGGTCCAACAAAGTTAGCCTAGGTACCCAACTAACACAATCAACTATACAGTACTCTACTGTAATAGGTTTATAATACTTTTCACACAAATAATCATAAAAAACATACACAAAATAAAACATTTTTAATCTTACAGTAGAGTACCTTGAAAAGTACGGTAGTACAGTACAACAGCTGGCATACAGGGGCACTTTAATATCTTCGAAAGTTCACAACTTGAAGGTTCGTATGTAGGGGACTTACTGTATTCTGTACCATACCAACTGCATCTCTGATCTTAACAGACAATTTTTTTTAAATATAGTATTCTGTATTTTTTATTTTGTTTAATTCAAAGATACATCACAGTTGTCCTCAACTATAGAAAGAGACTCTGCTAAAATATCTAATTCCTCTCAGCTACTTGAATTACATGTGGATATTGCCTTCTATAATTATATTCCTATAGCAGTAAAACTAGAAAAAAATTACAGATAGAGATTTCTATATTTGGCTTACTGCAGAACAAGTTACATGACAAAGGGTGACAAAACTTCAACCTTCATATTTTGGAAACAAGATTTGCCATTTAACACAAATTTCCTTCTTTGAACTGGACAGTCTTTAGGGTTAAACCCAAACATAGCTATATCCATATTGGAGGTACTTCAACAGCTCAAGGCTGAAATTCCCACACCGTGCTTGTTGTCAGTCCGTTGTTCTCCTGCCTAGTGGGCTCTGGAAGTGAATATTCTGCTACTTTGTGCAGTTGATGCTGAATGCTATGTCCACTGAACTGGGGTCGCCCAGGGTCACCAATCAGTACTCGAGTTCTGTAGACCCAAAAGCAATTTTTCAGCCATTGATGTAGACTGTCTGCAAGGTCTTCATCATAGAACATATCTCCAAGCACAACAAGGTCCCACGTATCTTGTTCCAAATCCAGCATGTTTTTGGTTAAAATGGGAAAAGGATTCAGTTGGTTCAACTCACAGTTTAGTGTAATAGCCATTCCTGCAACTTTAAAAAAGCACATAGTGAATTGGTATATGCTAAGTTGTTTTAATTCCCTATTAATTAATTTAAATAATCTAGAAAATCTCCAACAATATGTTTTTTTTTCCCATTCTGTTGAAAGTTGTTTTTTTAGGTAAAGAAGCCTAAAGTGTATGCCAATATAAGCTATTTCCTGCAATTCTCAAATATATGAATATCCTGAAAATAAAACAATACCAAACACCTGGAAATGTTGAGGTTTTAAGGAACATTTGCTGATCTACAAGCCTTGTGCAGCAGGATGACAAGTTGGACCTGAGACCCCATACACAATAAAGCTCCTCAAGGGCTAGATCCTCAGTGAAAGGGAAGACTAGAAGAAAATCAGATAAAATTAAACCTTACCTGTCTCAACTTGGGTTCGAATGGAATAAAATCTCCCTCAAAGACACTGGCCTATCTTCACTTGGGTTTTGGTCAAATAAACACTACCTACATATTTCAGGAAATGCCTAGCCCAGCAATGACCAACAGTTAAGTGCTCCCAGGTTGGTATCACTTTGGTATATCTGCCAGACACAAATAGAAGTCCTCCTGTGAAAAATGCACCATCAACTCAGGCCTCACAGGATTCCCACAGATAATGTCCCACTGAGTAAGTTCACAATATCAGATTATAAGATTCACATGGAAATGGGCTAGGCTATGATGGGTTGAGGCATCTGTAGATATTTATCCTGGAAGAAAAAAAGATGAGCTTCAAATATTTTAAAATGTGAAATTCTTACTAGGGTCTATGTCATTGGCCAAGATCGTTAAAGCTCCACTCATCTTAGCAGCGATAGCTGTAGCTCCACATCCACTCCCAATATCTAACACAGATTTTCCTCTGACAACGTCAGGATTATCCAAAAGATACCTAAATTAGAAAGAAAAGGGAAAACATTATCTAAGATAGAAGAAGGTCAATAAGAGGTGTACAAAAATTTTTCTTTGGATTGACTGGACAAAGAAATAGTGAAACTTAGCAGAAGAATTTGGTCCAACATTGGCAAGTTTGGCCTGACCAGAATGAGATAAAATGTCAATCTTAAGAGCTGGGCAGAGGTGGCAGAGAGAGGACCTAGTCATTTTGGTCTTTCTCTTTGGCAGGTGTGAAGAGCAGTTCCATACAACTGACTAATCATGCTCTTCAAGTCAACTTTTTAGAAGTAGTGAGCACTTACTGTGATCCAGAAACTACTAAGCACCAAAAACACAGACTGACAAAATACTGCTAAAGTCAGGACTCAGTAAGCTAGATGCAAAATTCACAGTCTCCTTTTCATTGTTCAACAGAGAGTGGTTTTACCTACTGCTTGAACTGTTTTATAATGACCTCTCTGGTAAGGTACAATCAAAGTCCAGTTCAACCAAAGAATTTGGACCTGGGCTAAGTAATTACCAAGCAAGTGAAGATGAATGGGAAAACACTGAAATAATAAATGTCAACTGACACTTGACCTTAGTATTGTAATAATAAAGAAGAGCAGAGGGAATTCCCTGGCGGTCCAGTGGATAGCATTCAACGCTTTCACTGCTGAGGGCCCATCAGGGAACTAAGATCCAGCAAGCCAAAAAAAGACTAAGGAACTACGGCAAGGTGGGGATGTAGTACCCTGTCTAAAGGGGCAGCTGTTACCCATCTTAAGCTAATTGTTGCCCCACAGAAATGGGGTGTTATCAGAGATTTAAATCCAGTGTTATCAGATATTCTTTTTTTTTTTTTTTTTGCCTTGCCTCGTGGCTTGTGCCGTCTTAGTTCCCCGACCAGGGATTGAACTCAGGCCAGGCAGTGAAAGCACTGAGTCCTAACCAGTGGACCTGGGAATTCCCCAGAGATTCTTTTCTTTCAAATCGAAATAAATTTTTACATGCAATCCCTCAAGTTTTACATGTTAGCAACTGATTTTTTTTTTTAAGTTTACAAGTAAAGGCCAAAGAAAATGCATCTGTGGATCACCTATTTGTGACCTCTGATTCAGACAAGTCTCTTAAGGAATTCGATGGCACTTATATTTGGAGTTGATAAACAACAACTTGCATAGATATCACTTAAAATGTATTCTTTTTAATGATATAAGTAAATAAAGCTTGAAAATTTGGCAACACAACAGCCAGAATATTGGACTTGTTAGATATTGGAAAGCTTTCCAGAACTTAGGATTCTCCAAAAGCTCTATGTTTGCATTTATTTATTTTGCATTTAAAACTATATACAACCTGAATTCTGCTAGACCATACCATTCCTGTGAAAGAGAAGTCCTTATCCTTTTCCTTTCAGTTTTGTAACCTCAAGGCATAAAAAGATTAAATCATTTACCAGTCTAAGAGCAAAGACTAGATTAAAATGCTATAAGTTCTTGCCTTTGTTTCAGTGGCTGTTTTAATAAAAAGCACTGTGTGAATGTGTGAGAAAATGTCCTAAAGAAGACCTTTGCAGTATGGGGAGTTAGAAAGGGGGAACCTTAAAAATGCAGAGGCAGTGCCGCAACTAAGAGCCCGTATGCCACAACTAAGACCGAGCGCAGCCAAATAAATATTTTTTAAAAAATAATTTTAATGCAGGTGCAACTCCAGAGTTCACCTGAGTAATGTCCCAATCACTCACATCCCTCATCCTTTGGGAGCCTGGGAAGAGGCAGTGATGGAGGAAGTGTAAGGTTTAAGGAGCAATATTTACAGGATTAAACCAGGCGACCTGAAGGACTGGGGCTTTAAGCTCCACTGAGGAACTCTGCACGGACCATGCATCATGAACCATGAACCTGAGAACAGTGTGAGATTTCTGGATCATGACCAGCTACCTAGGGTCTTGATAGCTGACCTAGGATTTCTCTTGGGGAGAGAGCTATATATCGGGAAACACCTTGATAAGCTTGGAGCAGAAGGTAAAGCTATGCAACAAAGCAACCCAAAACTTTTCCTAAACTGCTCTAAATTAAGAAAAGAATTTGGGGTTTTACTCTGGTTTTCTGTGAGGAGCAGGGAGAACAAGGCATTGGAAGGGGCTGAAAAGAGTAAGGATATGCGGAGCCCTAAAGGTTCCCACTTCACTTACGGCCGTACCTAGACAGGGCTTGGCCTCCTGGCCAGTAGACTGCCCAGTAAGGATCACTGTGGGGCCACAGGTCAGCTCTCTCCCACCAGAACTTGCATCTGGGGGTCAAAAGCCGCAACTGGATTTCAGGGGTGAGGCTACCACGGTTGGTGACTTCAGTGTTCTCCTCCAGGAAAGCTTTCATCTCAGGGTCCAAAAAGCTTCCGGTTTCCCTCCAGGGGCAGTGGCCCCAGGGAAACAAAGGAAAACCGCTGCTTCTCACAGCCTTCCGAAGGACACCACAGCGGTTCATGGCAAATGATGTAAACACTCTCCAACCTGGGCTCAAGGCCATCGGTCCTGTCCCAAAGCACAGGTTTGTTGGTGCTGCTCTTAATAACAGCTGCTCCTCCTCCTCCTTCCTGGGGAAAGAATAAGGGTCTGGCTGCCAAACTGATCTCAACTGGAATCTCTGGACCTCTAAAAACATAAATAATACTGAAAACTCCAAGGCTCACCAACACTTCCAAATCCTATTGCATAGTAAGAAAATGTTAGTGTTAGCTCTGTAGCAGATGCTGCACAAGTGCAAGTTCATTTTAGGTGAAAGCGTTGGTGCATTAATTTAGGAAAATCCAATCTTCTAAAAGATGCCTTTCCACAACAGAATCCTTTGTAGTAACTTATAACAACAAATATACAAGCATCTGATTTTGAGAGAATCCTCAGGAACACGCCTTTTACATAAAATAAGGTATACCTTTAAAGTTCTTTCATTCATTTAATAAATCACTTCCCTTTAAGCAGGCACTGTGCTTGGCAACTGTGAACAAAATTAACAAAGTCCCCATCTTCAGGAAGCTTAGATTCTAGTGATGGAATAGAGCAATTATCAGGGCAAACACAGTTCTTGCCTTTATGAAGTCTAGCCAAGATTGTGCAGATTGCCAAATTGTAACTGTGGTTAGAGATATACAAATTATACTGACTGCTCAATAAAGATAGTCCTAGCATAAAACATCAATGTAATCAAGATTCAGGTGTTTTCCTAAAAACAAACAAAAACAAAACAAACAAAAAACTATGGATTTAATTGTAATAAAAGAATATCAACTTCCAAATCTCTTTCTGTAAATACCTCTGATGAGTCATCTTTACCAAACCTGGACTTAATAGAAAGACACCTTGATAAAAATAAGAATGAGGAAGAGCAGTTTAAGCACAAATTATACACCCAGTTGTTTGGGACCTCTGATCTGTTCTGCATAAATATATAAATAGTCTTACATCCACCCAAGTACTTAGAGTAGGGGCCCCAAACTCAAATGCCTACCCAGGGCCAGACTGGTGATAAATGAGTGATGCAGGCTGGTTGTTAGATCACAGAAGGGCTGTGGCAAACTGGAAACTATTTCAAAACAGTCCCCAGCCAGGGGACACGTGGCCAGATCTTTCAATTTCTCAAAACAATCCAGCTATTTACCCATAAACTCCCACTTTTAAACGTGGGCAGTTAGTTAAAATACCAAGACACGAGGAGGGGCAAAATGTCTGTCTGTGAACCAAGGACAGACCTTAAGTGGGTGCAGCCCACGTTTATTCCTTGTAATCTACGGGTCTCTAACGGCCTGACCTCATTGGACTAATCGTGTAGGGAAGGATTGGGTCAGCCCTTGAATCTCACGAGCCTAAGGTTTGAAAAGACAGCAGAGCAAATACAAGATGATTGATTTTGGACACCCTGTCATGCAGACCGATGATGCCCCGCCCACGCCAGCACCAATGAAGCATCCGTTATGAATATGTGATTATGCGGTGGACACTTGGTACCTGGATTAACTGGTACGGTGAGAAGACAGGTTTAAAGGGGCAAGTTACAAAGTGTTATCACGTAACTTCCCTCGAAGGAGGACGGGAGTCAGTCTTAAAGGGGCAAGCACAGTCCTCCTTTTCTCCTTACCTGGCTGTGCTAACACCGTCCCGGGAAGCTAAGCACAGGGCAGGTCTGTCACTCGCCTTTGCGCCTCTTTTCGCGCCTTCTTTACAACTGCACGCTGGGTCCCACCTCCCCCCCAGAGCCGGGCCCCAACACCCAGCACCCCCACCCCCGCCCTGCGTCCCCGCCCCGCCCTCCTGCTCCGCCCTCCTTCCCGGCAGCACTTTCTCTCCCTTACCTGGGCTTCTTAAAGGGACAGGAAGTGCGAAATCAGCCGGCGCCCTGACCTCATTTGGGAAATAAGGGAATGTCAAATACTGATTTCTAAAAAATCCACTCTGAAGCCGTGGATCATCTGCTTCGTGTCAATCACACTTCTAGGCACTGGGCATAGAGCGGTGAGCAAAATAGACAGCACAAACCCTTAATGACGCTTATATTCAACTGGAATTAAATCATAATATGTCATCCCTTTTATAATAATTTTCCTACACGTACAATCTTTTTTGTTTTTCAACTGTAACTTCTCCTTTCAATAACACTCACTGATTCTCTTGCTAGTAATAATTCTTAATAGATGTTCAAGATCAGTTTGTCTAAGGACTTCTCTGGCAGTCCAGTGGTTAAGACTACACGCTTGCACTGCAGGAGGCGCGGTTGCATCCTTGGTCAGAGAACTAAGATCCCGCATGCCGCCCACCCCCCACTCCCCACTCCCCACCCCCGGTTGAAAAATCAATTTGTCTAAGGATTTTTTTTTTTTAATGGATGAGCAATCAAGCCACATTATTTTTGGCTGCCTTGGGTCTTGTTGCTGCGCATGGGCTTTCTCTCGTTGCGGCGAGCGGGGGGCTACTCTTTGTTGCCGTGCGCGGGCTTCTCATTGCGGTGGTTTCTCTTGTTGCAGAGCAGGGGCTCTAGGCACGGGGCGCTTCAGTAGTTGTGGCTCGCAGGCTCAGTAGTTGTGGCGCACACGCTTAGTTGCTCTGCGGCATGTGTGATCTTCGCGGACCAGGGCTCGAACCCGTGTCCCCTGTATTGGCAGGCAGATTCTTAACCACTGCGCCACCAGGGAAATCAAGGATTATTGTTTTTAACCAGCTTCTGTATTCTATCCCAGTGATAGTTTTAAAATCGATCTGCTTCTCTCCATCCCTCCTGCCTCTGCCTTATGATTGCTTGCTTGAATTCCTGCTACTGGTCTCTCTGCAATCCTGCCTTCCTCTATCCCATTCTCTATAGTGCAGCTGAAATGGTTTTTTCTGAAACTTTCATTCCATAGTCCAAAAAAAGGCCTTACATTCCTACAAGATAAGATAAACCAGATAAGCCAAGAGAAACAGACTGTAAGCCCTGAGAAACAAACGTGGATTTTCTTTTCTATTGTTTGGTGGTGTTTTTGTTTTTTGTTTTTGGTCACGCCACTTTTCATGCGAGATGATCTTAGTTCCGCAACCGGCGCCCCCTGCATTGGGAGCTGCCTGGTCCTAACCACTGGACTGCCAGGGAAGTCCCGCCCTTTTGTTCTTTTTAATTGAAAGAACTGTCTCGCTTTCATCAAAATTGACCCAAATGCAACAAAGCAGACCCATCAACTGTCTGATAACAATTGAGCTATCATCTGACCTTGTGATTTTTGCCTTTAAATATGTGCCTACATTTTTGTACACGAGCCAATTCTCTAATAACTGGACACTCTTGCAAGTGCAAGTAAAAATAATTTATCCCCATACTCAAATTTGTTTTTAAGCGTTTTTTGAACAAGTTATTTAATTATACTTATTAGTTGTATGTCCTTGGGCACATTATTAAACCTTCCTAATGAAGGGGATTAGGATATGCCATTGTGGCACAAGAATTATTTTGAGCGAAAGAGTTTCTGAAATCTCTTATCTGCCTAAAGCTGACTCTCCCAAAAGAACTCAACTGTCATAAAACTCCTCCTTGAGAACAACTTTAATCTTCTTGGACTTGAGAAGTGGGCACCACACCCAAACAGACATTGTCTCAAGGCTATCATATCTCCTATCTACTCTCCTAAAAAAACATTTATCTTTACAAAAAGTCACTCCCATAAGTGCCCTTTCTCTCCTTCCCCATCACCTATGATGAAATAAAATATATGTTTTCTAAGGCAGGACAAGAGAATTTAAGCATAGCAGATGCCCTTCCTGACAGGGCTCTTCCTAATGTGCAATATGCATCTACATTATACATTAACCAGATCTCCTCAAAGGCAGGAATGTCTGCTCAACCATAAAGATCATTTTTTCCCCTTCTTCTGACGCCAGCAATGTAACTCCTTAGAAGATAACATTCTTTTCTTAATCCTGTAAGGGGTCATGGTGACCTGCCGCTCCCTTCCTACATGTAGGTCTGGACTTTATATCTCTGGTTAACGTTATGTAAAATGTCAGTGTGTCATTTTGATGAACGATCCTTTGTCTCAAAAATGTATATAAATGTGCTTTCGACTTCTAACTAGGGGAACAGTCCTCAGAGTTTTCTGAAAGACTGTCTCCAGGGCTATAATCCTCAGGTTGGCTCGGAAAAAAACCTCTATTTCTTCTTTAGATTGACTATTAATTAATTTTTCATCAACACCTACTAAGTTAGGTATATAAACACAAAATTTTAACCACCCCCTATGAGTTATTCATCACTGAATTCTCATGTGCCTATGCACTGCATGTGTAAACTCTGTTTTTTTTCTCCTGTTAATCTGTCTTTTGTCAGTTTAACTTGCAGATCCCAGACACTGAACATAAGAGGGTAAAGGAAAGTTTTTCCTCCCCTACACTAAGTATCAGTGTTCTCCTCTGTAAAATAATAATGATGATAATAATAATGTATTGGGAGGATTTAATGGGATAAAAAGTAAAGTGCTTAGCACAGTTCCTGGCATATCGTAAACGCTGTGATTATCATTATTGGAACTATGGAGTTAGTGCTGGTAAGACGCAGACTGGAGGCTGAAGATCAGGTTTTCAGCGAAGAGTGAGGGGATCAGATTTGAGTTTTAGAAAACCGTTTTAAGCTGCTGGTATCAAAGAGAGAGGTTGGATTGAAGGAGACATCCCTTGAAGAATGTGGTGGTAACCCAAGCAAGCACTGATGAGGGCATGGAAAGAATTGGACACATCTGAACGTGACTCAGGAAAAGCCATTAGCAGGACTTGGAGAGCAATTAAATATGCTTGCTTAACCATAATGAGAGACAATCTAAGGGAAAGATATCATTTTTTCTTTATCAACTTGACCTGAATGACCGTGCTATCTGATCTCATTCTTCCTTGCTTGAAAGCCTCTCTGGCTCCCCATGCCTTCAATATCAGAGCCGAATTCCTGATCACAGCTTCCGAAGCTCTTGGTAATCAGTCCCTACTTACCCATCCTGCCTTGTTTCAGAACCCTCCCCTCCTCTACACTTTGCTTTCTTGTGGCAAGCCCTTGTCCTCTCACTCCATGCCTTGCTTAAGACAAAGTTGCTGGGGCCACCACACATACACCCTCTCCTCACTGACCCTAACCACCTCCTTACCCTTCAGAACGCAGCTCAGAGTTAAGGCCCTCAGAAATGGCCCCTACACACACACTGATCTTGACATTTTCTTAGCTTCCTATAGATATATCTGTAAGGCCAACTGGCCCGAGGCAGGGGAACGCAATCAGACTCACAGGTTGCATCAGACCGAAACTTTCCGGACCACCCAGTTCCAGGAACTGACCTGGGGACTTTCTGGACCACCCAGTTCCAGGAACTGACCTGGGGACTTTCCACCCGGCCCAGCCTTCCCGCCTTTCGAGGGGCGGAACTAACGGTCCCAAGACTGATGCAACCGGCACTAGATACTGCCACGATAGCCGAAAAGACCACCAAATAAGGAATACTCTGTGCGCCCTCCCGGATTCACCACACCCCTTTCCCTTCTTCCCCTATAAATTCTGCCCAAACCCTCACCCGGGCGCGACTTCTCTGGCCCCTTTCTCTCGAACCAGTGAACCTCGCCCGGGAGCGTACCCAAATAAAGCTTGATTAAGCTCTCCTCCGTTTCTTGCTGCCGTTCCTTACAATATCCAGCAAGAGCGCCATGCAGAACTGTCACTGCCTGCCTCCTCTACTGGGCTTAGAGGCAGACCATCTCATTCCTCTTTTACCTTCTGCCACAGTTAAGACACTCAATAAATTCTGTTAAATGAAAGAGAAAGCAAATAAAGGAGGAAATTAACAAATATTATATATCAGTGTCTCATTTCCAAATGTTATTTTTAACAGCTTTATTGAGGTATAACTTACGTACAATAAACTTCACATATTTAAAGTGTACAATTTGGTGTTTTGCTATGTGTATACCCTCGTGAAATTGTCACCAAAATCAAGAGACTGAACGTATTCAGGGCCCTGTGTTATCTCTCCCTCCTGTCCTCCACATCCCCTCCATCCCCAGGTAGCTGCTGATCTGCTGTCACTATAGATTAGTTTGCATTTTCTAGATTTTTATATAAATGCAGTTATACAGTATGTTCTCTTTTGTCTTTGCTTTCACTCAACATGATTATTTTGAGATTCATCTGTTGTTTCATGCATCAATTGTTCACTCCTTTTCATTGCTAAGTAGTTTTCCATTGTATGTATATATAAAATGTGTTTATCCGTTTATCTATTGATGAATATCTGGGGGGGGTTGTTTGTTTGCTATTACAAATAAAGCTGCTTTGAATATTTGTGCACATGTCTTTGTATGGACATATGCTTTCTTTTCCATTGGGCAAATACTTAGGAGTGAAATGGCTCGATCACATGGTGGTGTGATTAACTGCAAACCTTCTCCAAAAGGGTTGTCATTTTCCATTCCCATCATCAGTGAATGAGAATCCCAGTTCCTTCCATGTGTTGAGGAAAACAATTTCATTTTTCTGAGTTGCGGCCTAGTCGTTTTACAGTATAAAAACACCACTCACACCTAGAGTCTGAGCATTTAGAAAAAAACTTGAGTCGAGGATACCCACAGTAAGTACCCGCTTTGTGTTTCCCGGGGCACCTTTTAAAATAACCACTTTGGGTTAAGCCTGCTGAAAGTTAGTGACCTCTGCCCAACTACCTCATGAGTAATAGGTGCTTGCTACCCTGCTCTCCATCTCCTGCTCGCCCGGCTCTCCCTTCCCCCAGCTCATTGCACCCTCTTGCTTCTGGGGTCTGTAAGTAATAATAAATCTTGTGATTCTACTTCCTTTGAGTGAGTGTGCTGAAATTGCATCTTCAATCAAAATGACCTGTGGGGCTTTACTTTCCTAAATGGGAGCTCGGATGCTGAGGCAGCCTGACCCTGGATGGGTGTCTTGTGCCCCTTTTTTTTTTTGCGGTACGCAGGCCTCTCACTGTTGTGGCCTCTCCGGA